ATGTCCTGAACGTCATATAAACAAACCATTTCGTTTTTCAATTAATGATATATTTAAAGGTACGGGATCTGGATTCTGTGTTTCTGGTCATGTAGAAACAGGAATGGTATCTTTGGGTGATAAAATTTTAATATTACCAAGAAATGAAACTGCAGTGATTAAAAGTATAAAGTATTAATCTTATATTCTTCTCATGCCAGAGATATGAATGTGCAATTCAATAACTTATAGAAATTTATATCTCAAATGTAAAATATAATAAATTAATTATCTTATAATATTTATTATAAGATTAATATTTTATTTTATAAGATATTTATTTTAAAATTCAGTTTTAAATTCAATATAAAATATTGTTTTATTATTGTGAAATTCAGAATAAAAAACATTCATTATTCATTTGCACATTTTTACTTGGTATGAAGAAGATGATATTATTTTTCTTACATATTTAAATATTTGTAACATAAATTGTAAAATGAAATTTTAGGTTTACAGATAGATGAAATATCTATAACAAATGCATTTGCTGGAGATCAAGTTTCTTTAACATTATCTGGAATTGATCAACAAAATGTAGGAATTGGAGATATTATTTGTAATCCTCAAAATCCAGTTCCTGTGACATTATGTTTTCAAGCGCATATTGTTGTATTCACTGTGAAAGTACCAATTATAAAAGGTCTTCCTATAGTAATTCATCAACAATCTTTAGTTCAACCTGGTATTATTACTAAATTAATAGCACAACTTCATAGAACCACTAGTGAAATGATAAAAAAGAAACCACGTTGCTTACCAAAAAATTCAAGTGCTATTATTGAAATTACAATGCAAAATCCAATTTGTATGGAATTATATAAAGATATTAAACAATTGGGTAGAGTTATGTTACGTGTAGAAGGAACAACTATTGCAGCTGGTTTAGTTACAAAAATTAAATAATAATAAATTTATTATATATTTGCAAATCTCATTTTAGAAATATATTATTATTTTTGTTTTTTCATTATATTCAGCTATATATTTATAGTAAGTATATATATATATATATATATAATATATTGTTATAACTTATTAACTTATATTTGTATATACACTTATTTAAAATAGAAAATTTACTTCATTTTTTTTTAATCTATATATGTATATGTATATGTTAATATATTTATAATGATTTATAACATTTTTAAGAATAATCCATATTTTTAATAAAATTGTCCAAAAATTTTGTGTTTAATGATTTCTTAGAAAAATTTCATAATTTTATTTTTCAATATGTTAGATTATGATAATTTAAAACTTTGGAATAATTTATAATTACTTTATTTCAAATCTTAATTTTTTTTATCTAGTACAACTTCTACATCCTCCAAATGGAATATCAATAATATTTCCTGTATTAGGTCTTCCCAATCTACGAGTTGGTGGACGTGGTGGTCTATGAACAAATATTAATTTATTTAATATTAATTTTATGATAAAAATCATGATGTATAATTATTTTAAATCTTACCCAAATCCAGGTCTATAATCTCTTGTATATTCATTTCCATATTTATTCATATTAGGATTAATCAATGTCTTAAAACTATATAAAAAATAATTCATTCATTTATGTTTTTTTTATATAATAAATTAATATAAGAAATGATACTTACAACATAATGATCATAAAGATTATGCCTGTGAAAAATCTAAATACTTTTAAATATAATGGAGTACTACATAAAACGCTTCCATCTAAAAATTTATTAATAATAAGATTTTATTTACAGATTTAGTTATATATGTATAGTGCTTATACTAAATTTTCATTATACGATATTGAAGATTGTACTAAGGTTATCTTTATTACCATTTAACACATAAACCATGTTTTATGATTATTTCATAAAGAATATTGTTTAATTTATTTTAGTAATTAATTTAGTTAAAATGCTTATTAATAAATGTTTATATGAATGTATTTAAAATTACAAATTTCGTAGTTTGATAGTTTTAATATCACGTCATATATAGTATGTGAAATATTAATGCGTAAAATGATAAAATAGCGTTAACTTCAGAAATATTATATTGTACAAAGCATAAAATATACAACATTATAGATATTTGTAGAATGCTTTTGAAAAATTAATAAGTTTAAAGGCAACAAACATAAAAGTTTTACAAAAATATTACTTAGGACTTATTTATTAAGTCATAAGTAATTGAAATTTAAATTAAATGAAGTGAGGAGGCAGAATGAAGCAGCAATGTAACAAAGATAAAACTATTTCATTTTATGCTTTTTATTTAACGTAAATTTCAATTGATTATAAGTTAATAAATAAGCATTAATTCTATATTATACTTTTATATATCAACTTTTATATTTATTTTTATTTTTAAAATCGATTCTCATGTCGCAGAAATATATTAATATTTTATAAACTTGATTTTAATATTATATTATAATATTAAAATATTATTATTAATAAGGCATATTATATTATTATTAATAAAGTATCATACTTACATATTTACATAAAATATAAAATACGTAAAATATACATACCAATTCATTTTAATTTTTTTTTTCTTTTAAACTTATTAAATATTTATTCATATTTTTGAGTGAGATTTAGTTTTTAAATAAAAATAAAAGATATATTACAAAATATCATTTTAATTCATTGAAAAATAATTTTGATATATATAATAATTATTAATATAAAATTATTCAAAATTTAAATTTTAAATTTTAAAATTAAATTTAAATCTCTTTTAACAGATCTTTTAATAATCAAAATTATAAAAAAAATATTTTGTTTATGCTGCAATACTTTTTAATATTTGATCACGTTCAATAATTTTTATCCATAATCCTCCTTGTGCTCTGATTGTCATTCTAAATTTTGGCTGTATTTCCTTTTTTCCAGGAATCGATTGTAATCGGCATCTTCTAAGAATTGCACTAATTATAGATTTCATTTCAAGCATTGCAAATTTGTAACCTGTAATATAATATAATTTTTATAAATAAATTAATATTATTATTATTAATAAATTAAAAAAATATAATGAATTTATTATAACGACAAAAAAATTATTAAAAAAATATTTATACCAATACAATTTCTTGGTCCAGCACTGAAAGGTATATAAGCATAAGGATGTCTTTTCTCCGAATTCTCTGGACTGAAACGTTCAGGTTTGAATGCATCAGGATCTGGAAAATGATGTGGCAAATGATGTGTACTATAAGGTGATATTAATACACTACAGCCCGCTGGTATTATATATTTTCCTAAAATATCCATTATTATTATTAATAAAAAATTATTATTATTAATAAACATTGTTAATAATAATTTTATAGTAATTTCACAGCAAAAAAAAAAAAATGCATAAGACATACCAATTTTTATATCTTCACCTAATATTCTTCCTATTATTGGTACACTTGGGTATAATCTAAGTGATTCTTTGATGCACATTTCTAAACATTTCATTTCTTTTAAATCACTTATTGTAGGAAATCTTGTATCTCCATTAAAAATTTCATCAATTTCTTCTATACATTTATTTTGCCATTCAGGATGATTAGCTAAAAGAAAAATTGTCATCGCTGTCGCAGTACCAACTGAATCTTGTCCTGCTAACATAAATGTGCAACATTCTTCAACAATATCTTCATCGGAAAAACAAGGATTTTTTTCATTTATTTCTACCATGTATTCTAATAAGGATATATTTTTATTTTTTTTTGTGTCGTTATTAGGGATACGTTCTTTACTTTGTAAAAGATTACGCTTCTCTTTTACTATTTTAAAACAAGTATCGAAGAGATCTTTTCGTTGTTTCTCTTCTTCTCTACCATATTTTGTTAACCGATAAATCCATTCAATTAAAAGCCAAGGTCTTATCATCCGATATAAAAGCATAATTTGTCCTCTGAAAGAAAAAATTCATGCATGCTATTATTATTTGTCTATACACTTAATATAGAAAATTATGTATAACAAGAATATAAAAATTAAATTAGAGAAAATTAATTCTCACTTTCGAAAAGGTAAATCATCCATTTCATTGATCTGATTTATTCGGTTTATTCCCAAAACTGTTTCTGCAAACAATTAATAATTACTTTAAATATTGCAATTAAAATTTATATTCTTTTTCTTTTCAATGTATTAATAATAATATATTAAAATATTTATAGTTAGAATAATCCTTTATTATATTATAATTCTTTATATTCTTATTTTTTTATATTATACATAAATCATAATAATCATTAAATTTTGATAATAAACATATTATTATTAATTATATTTAATGATTTTTCATTTATAAAATTAAATTACAATCAAATTTATTTTCAAGGAAATATATCATAAAATAAAATTGAATATAAATTTATTAACTCTAGATATAAAATAAATAATAATAAAATATAAATATGTTAAGTTATTATTTATTTAATACTAACTGTTTAATTTTAATATAATATATATAATATATATTATATATATAATTTTAATATAATATATTTAATATACATTTATATTAAATTTATATATATATATATTTTATATTAAAGTTTGCATAGTATATTTAATTTAATATATATTATTATTATAATATATGTATCTATATATATAATGATATATTTAACAATATACTATATGTAATACTATATAAAATGTATACTATATCTAGGCTATGTATATATATGTATATATACATGTATATATATGTATATATATATGTATATATATATATATACATATATGTATATATATATTAAATATATCTAATTCATAAATTAATATTAAATTAAATAAATTATTAACTGCAAATTATTTGTTGTACTTTATTGATTTTTTTAAAAAAAATTACAAAAGATATGAATATTTCAACTAACAAATTATTGATTCTGTTACTCATATACGAAGTATATTTGCATGAAATTAGGAAAGCATAGATGACTTTATGATGTATCATTATTTTTAAATGAATTTTTAAATACAATTTAAATACAACATAAATAAATAAAATATGAAAAAGTATAGTAGTTAATATTAAAAAATTTATTATATATTTTATATTATTTAAATATAGAAGAATATTTAAATATTATTTTATATAAATTAATATATAAAATAATATA